AGATATGCCTATTTGGTTTTTTGGCTATAACTTCGGGGTAAAATGTCAGAGTTCACTGAAATTTTAATACGTTGAGCATGAGAACGTTTTACATAAATTTATAACGAGATTTATGATGCTCAAAACCATTTTAAAATGTTTGCTCCCAAAAACCAAAAATGGCAAAACTTTAATTTTTGAACATTTCTTTTTCAAATTTTTTAGAACTTCTTTCAAACATATTCAGAAAGCCAAAACAAAGTTTAGATGAATCAAATGTCACAGAGTACTTGGAAAAAAAATTTATTCCCAATCCCTCGTACCAAAAAAATGGGGCCCGTCAAAGTAGGCGACCTCTTTCTCAATGGCATGTTAAAAAATGAACTAAAACACGGTAAGAAAGGTACTCATCTTGAATATTTATCTTTTTTAACAATCGCAAAGATGTTAACAACGTTTCTGCTGGAAATCAAAAACGTTGGTTGCGTCGAATTATTCCAATATTCCTGATCATTCACTACAAAAGAAAAATATTAACGCTGCATTTTCGAACAATTCCTAATTTTTATAGCTTGCATTGTAGTAAGCTCAACTCATTCGTTCTTCTCGCAGTCCACAGTTTTACTTTATTAAATTTTCATTCCTCAGCCTTGTAGAAGAATTTAATTTTTTCAAAATATTTTTATATTCTAAAAACTCATTTGAACTATTTTAAATGAATGATAGAAAAAATTTTTATCGAGACTTTTTCTCTGATCCATTGTACATTCAAATCGGCAACAAAAAGTGGCTTCAAAACCTAGTTGAAAGCGAAAGCGAGAAACCAATTGAACATCAAATCATCTACAAAACGTGAACAAACCGAGTAAAACCATTGAAAACTCAAGAATCTCAATTCATTATTGCAGCTTATTTGCACTATTGAAGCAAAGGCGATGTGAAGAAAAGTCTTCAAGTCCTTTCTAGTGTCGAGAGAAGGCATCAATCAATAAAATGACGGGCCGTTTTCGCCCATCGCGGCATTGGCGCCATCTCACGCTCTTTCAAACAGCATATTGATTGCCAATCAATGTCCTTCTTTACTCTGAGACCTTCGCCGCAGTTTCCACTTTTGTCGAGATATGTTAATATTAAGAAAATGTTTTGCAGAACAATTATTTTTTATTTCATTCATATTTTGCATTATTTTTTACACTGCATTTATACACTGTTTTCTCTGAATTTTTGCCAGATTCTGTCTATGCCTGCTCTTTTTTTCTCTTCCAACTTGTTTTTTTTTTCACTTCGCTTATCTCTTCGTCTGATTTTTAGCGCCATGCAGGCAATAGCTCCACATGGACCGCCTAAAGGTCGCCAAAACTCTTTCTCTGACACACACTATTTCGTCAATATGGCTACGTAACAGTGTAGGTCAGAGAAAGAGTTATGGCTATCTTTATGAGACGCATATCAAAGAGGCTATTCCATTAGGTTCAAATTTTCGCTATGACGCGCGAAACTATAAGACCCCCTTGCTTTTTTGAGTTTCTGGAAGAGGCTGATGTCTTAGAGAAAAATTGTTGATGTGAATAGATTATGCGTCTCCGAAAATCTACTCATACCAACTTTGGTCTCTGTCGGCTGTTTTAGAAGCGAATGAGAAAGGAAGAACGAAAAATCAGAATTTCGAGTGTTACTTCAGGAGATGATGCTCAACCAATAAGAATTTGTGTTTGCCTGTGATCAGGAAGTTTAAGCTTCTCATTGGATACAAATTGAAGTCTATAGGAAGAGTAGTTTGTTTACTAAACAACTGTTTTTGAAAAGTAATTTTTTTCACTTTATTGGTCTTTTTAAAAGCCGAATTTTTGTTTAATGTTTTAATTATGCTCCTAATTGCTTGCAACCGTTGATAGAGCAACAGAGTACATCGAAAAAAATTCATTTCTAAAAACTACTATAAAGCGAAAAACCGTTTTATAGATCTTTCAAAAATAGCCGAAAAGTTCAAGTTTTCTGATAATCAAAATTCAAAATTTAAAATAAAATTTGTAGATTTCTCAAATTAGAAAGAAATTTAAGCGTAGCTGAAAGACGCTCAAAGTTGTTATAACATAAAGATTTTGACAGTGGCAGAGATTCTAGGTAAAGTTTGATTCGGTTAAAAAACTAAAGGTCTTATAGTTTTGTGGTGGTATGAAAAAATACAAAGAATTTGAAGGCGATTTTTCGATTTTCATATTGATAGAGACTTTCGACGGAAGTTTCCGAAGTAATCACGACATTTTCCGGTGGTACATAAATTAACAATTTTGCGAACGTCAATTTCGATGGCCGCGATGCGAAAGTTTAATTTTAAAACGAATAAAGACAAAAATTTATCCATCGGAAGTTCGCTATCGATTTTCGCTCCAGTCGCAGACACGCGTAAACTTCGCTCACGACTTCACGGCCATCGAAATCGATGCTGTCGCAAATTTCGTTAATTTTTTCGTACCACCGTTTTCTCGATGGTGCTTTGTTTTGGATCTTTCTATATAAACTGGGTAGTTGATTCATAAATAAAACACGAAATAATAAAAAATTTTAAATATGTTTTATAAATTGAAAAAATAGAAAAAGTAAATATTCATCATTAGTTTTTTATGCTCGCTCTTTCTTGCTCGCTCAGACCTGAAAAAGCAAGGTGGTCTTATAGTTTTGTCCTGCTGTTTATTAACTTTTTTGGACTTTTCATTTGCACTTTATGATCATTAAGTAGAATATTTTTGTCTTTCCCGTTTCTTGGTCTACAATTTTTTTTCAGACTACTCACATGGCTCATCCGCTGTTTGAACCAACAGCACAAATCGAATTTCCGTGGTTTTATCATTCAAAGTTAGGCATTTTCAAACACGGATTTCTTTAAAATCATACCATCAATAGCCATATCGTCAAATCGTCAGCTAATTTACAAAAATATTGAGTTTGAGCCATATCACGACGATTTCAGTGGGCGTTAACAATCACAACTACTTTACTTACTTTGCTGATACTTTGATGGTCCATCTTCGCTGGTGATGTTCTCAGCGTGAACCACAAGTTCTCCAGGCGGCCCGTACTTGCGCAACGGTCATCCAGTGACGGCCTGGTTGGCGTGTTCTTGCCGTAGGCCGTCCATCTGAACTCGGTGGGGCAGTGGGCGATGTTTCTCATGATCGAGTGTGTCGTTCTCGTGGACCAGCGGTCGTCCTGTCTGCGAATGACGTGGCCTCCCCAACAATGGTACCCGCGTTGAAGGTGCTCTTCAAGGTCCCGGATTTGGGACCGCTGACGGAGGTCTGTGCTCGTCTGTTCTTTTTTTCACTGTTCGAAGCGAGTGGTATCAAGGAGAGCACGTTCCAATGCGCGGTGAGATGTTCTTAGGGCGGTCGCGGTGTTTTTCGTGTCAGGACAAACTTAGTCGCGTAGGAGTTGGCGGGAATGACGGATGCTTCGAAGATGTGAGCTCGCAGTCTCGGGTCTTTTAACGGGTGTTCTTTGTTGATGGAGTTGAACGCGGTCCAAACAGCTCGTCGACGTCTTGCGATCTCTGGTTTCAAATCGTTAACATCTCAACCGAGATACGGGCATTGATGATTTCGAAGGAGTCGACAGCTGACTGGACCGAGTCGTTGACGAGGAAGCTGATCCCTCCCATGTTCTTTCTTTCGAATTTCTCTCCAAGGATAAGAAGCTCTCCGTTCTTCGTCTTATTGCAGCTGGTCTTTCGAGGTTTCATTTCCTGTAGCGCCAGTATGTCGATGTTTGCTTTTCGGTTTGCCGATAGTAGTTGTTCAATAGCTGTATCGTTTGAAAGCGTACTGCAGTTGAGAGTACCGAATTGCAGTAACCCCATCACCGCGTAGGGGTGGTACTTGATGGAGAC